GAGCCCGATGTGGGACTCGATCCCGGGACTCCAGGATCATGACCTGAGCCGAAGGCAGTCGCTTAACCAACTGAGCCACCCAGGCGCCCTGTTTTGGTGCTTTGATGGTGTTTCCCTTTTATGGTGTCAGATATCAGTCTTTTCATATATTTTCCATCAACTTTTATGATTAAGATATTCTCTTACCGTAAAGGAGCTAAATGGACATGTGAAATTTCTTTTAGTATTTGTTTTTGTTAATATTTACATTTAATTCTACAATCATATACAACTTGTTTTGTACATGATTTATGGATTTAGATCTTCTCTTCCCATTAATTACTTATGATTTTTTTGAGATCATATATTTTTGTGCTTTTTAGTGTCCACTATGGGGTTATCCTCTTATAATTTCATTAATCTCTGTTGCAATAGCATTTATATCATTCATTCCATCTTGTTGGGATATTAAGGATTATACCCATCCATAATTTCTAGCACTGTTATCCCATATTTATGACTATTTGAGTTCAGAAATGTGTCCGTGAAGCTGGTGATGAGAACACAGATGGTGCCCTTGTTGCTTATTTGTAGATGATCTATGGAATCCTCAGGTATATGGAACACAGCTTTCAGGAAAGAAGTAGATCATGTTTTCTCAATCTTGTAAAAAATGCTGTTTTTCTATGAAAATGCCTACAGACAACATGACATAAGTTTAGCATCTAAATTAGTGGGCTAGTGGTAGCAAATTCTGAGTATGTTCAAGAAGTGACATCTGTCACTGAAGAAGAGACATTAATAGTAGAATAAGGGAGGAAATAGCAAAAGCCTTGAATCTAATACTGTGAAAATATCCTTATTTACCTCAATAGCTTTTGAGAAGATCGTTGTGTTTTAATATTAGATATATGAGGTATTACAAAAAAATGTAAATGTTGAAATTCTTAGTAATTCTATCCAATCTATACTGGATATATTATCCAGTCTAATCTATTTGGATAGCTTTTCAGGAAAATTTGTTTTCTAATATTGGATATTCAAGCTTTAGTTACATGCAGAGGCTATTTTTCTGGGATATTGTCTATAATATTTTGAAACAGGGAAGTGCTATTATAACTTAAAATAGTGTTAATGCACTACTTAGCAGTTTTCTTAAAATATTTTTTGTGAACTACTTAGTAGGGCTGGAAGATATTATACAAGCTAAAAACACACGTTTAGACAAATATTACATGTGCATCTTGGAGTTTCATGGTTCTTTTTATTACAATGTGATATTTTTATGGCATACCAAATATATTTCAGGTTTTTTTTTAAATCACATGAAAATTGGCACCATTCCGTGATAGGCTAATGATTAAGCATTAAAAATCAACCTTGTAACCAGCATAATAATAAAGGACTGTTGCTTAAATAGTAGTTCTAAAGCTAGAATAGAAAAAGTGCTAATGAACCTTTCCCCCATTGTAATTACATTCAGTGTTTAAAGTTTCTCATTTTATGGATTATTTTTTATAGAGAACTACTTCTCAAATTATTTTCTTCACTTACTCATCATGAACCTCTCCCTCCTCCTTTTAGCAATCTTCCTGAGCTCTTTTCGGGTGCCATATGAGGAAATCAAAATGATGATACTGGAAGTGGATGAAACACAGTTGGCAGAGTCTATGATTCAGGTAAATAAACTGGCAGAGAGCTTAAATTCCAATATTTCATTGCAAGCTTCTCATTAAATAGAAATCTGTAAGTGAAGCAAAATTCTTAAACCAAATCATTCAACTGGAAAATCATTGCTGCATAATTAGTTTTAGCATAACTTCTGCTTTGCCAGGAGATAAAACTCTGCATCTTCTCTTAACTGCAAACCAAATATAACGCTATCAAAATGATTACATTTCAATTATTTTAAATGACTGTTTCTGAAAGGCGAATTGTTTAATTTTGTATATATGTTTTTGTTTTGGTTACAGTTAAGATTAGTAATATGTTAATTAAAATTTATTTGTATAATCCCTTTAGAATATGTTTTTCTTAGACTTTTGTCTTATAAAGTCATATTATGATTTGATATAGAAGACAGAGGGTAACTTTATTTAAAGTTACCTTTTATTAACAACCCTTCCTTGAGTCATTTGTGTTCCTACGAGTACTAGAAATTGTGGGCATAGCATTCTGAATTCATTCAGGTGGCTGCGAGGTTTTTTAAATGGTTTTTACCCACAGTAGTACTTAAGGAATGCTAGTGTGGTACCAGAGTTGCTTGCTGAAATCCACATAAGGCATCAATAGTGCATATCTTGATAAAATGTAAAGTCGGCGAATCAAACCACAAATCATATAGTGAGAGAATAATATCTTCTGTTTACTATCTTTCATTCTTATAATGGATGTACTTAGAAAAAGGATTTTTTTAGCAATAAAAAGAAACCAGAGATTATTTGTTAGTGTCAACACATGCTTAAAATTATTTTAGACGTTTAATCCATCAGTTGATGGTATCTTTAGCAGCCTTTGGTTTTGCCTCTCCGACCTTGTCTTCCCAATATTGTTGTGACATAATCCCAGTAGGAGTTCGCGTTGTGAGTTGCTGAGACACTCAAACAATATAATCCAGTAACTTTTGAAGCCTTCATTCTCTAGCACTTTCTTTTTACTAGATTTTTGTCTTTGTGACTGTTGATTATAAATGTGCCTTGTTATTGGGAGTAGACTTCAAGTTCCTTAGAGAAAATATTTCTACTTAATACATATGGGTATTTTTCCTAATGCATTTGTTGAGTATTTACAGAGTAGCTTTTAACTTGATTACATGAATGTGTTGGATGTTCAGGTGGCTCTTGGACAGAGATGGGGGAAGAATTTGGATTTTTTAAATTCATGTCCAAAGATCATCCAGTTCCGTAAAATTTCTTAATATATTAGTTTTCTATTGCTGCTGTAACAGTTTACCACAACTTTAGTTGCTGAAAATAACACAGATGTATCAGCCTACATTTCTATTGAACAGAAATCTGGCGTGTGTCTTACCATGCTAAAGTCAAGGTGTTGGCAGGCTTGCATTCTTTTCTATAGGATTTAGAAAAAAATCTTTGTCTTTTCCTGGCTCCTCATGGCTGCCCACATTCCTTGGCTTGGGACACGTTTCTTCAACTTTGAAGCAATGTTGCCTCTCTTCTCTTTGTCTTTTCCTGGCTCCTCATGGCTGCCCACATTCCTTGGCTTGGGACACGTTTCTTCAACTTTGAAGCAATGTTGCCTCTCTTCTTTCTTTCATAATTACATCTCCCTCTCGCTCCATTGTTCTCTCTCCCTCTTCCACTTTTAAGAACCTTTGTGGTTACGTTCAGCAGTTCAGATAATCCAGAAAAATTTTCCTATTTTAAGGTCAGCTGATAACAACCCTGATTACCCTTTGCCATGTAATCTAGTATTTCCACAAGTTCTTGGGATTAGGTGTGGACATCTTGGGGGATGTGGTTTAGGTCATCTTTTGCCTACCACACCTACTAAATATAAAACAAGTTTTAGGAGCTTAAAATCTAAAGACTTAGTTTGAACTTTTATAGATTGATTAAAAAATAAGACTTTCATGCTCTTTGAAGTCTTATTTTAATTTTAAAAATATATTCCTTTTTTTTTTTTAAGATTTTATTTATTTATTTGAGAGAGAGAGAATGAGAGACAGAGAGCACGAGAGGGAAGAGGGCAGAGGGAGAAGCAGAC